CTAGCCACCTCCTGCTCTACCTCAAGTCTGGTGTTGAAATTTTTTCTTTCTAGCTCCCATTTTTCTTTTTCAACATTGGATTCTTCCATCTTTTGGCCTCTGACTTCAAGTTCAGCAATCAATGGTTCATTTCAGATTCAAATCCCTTGAACATGATATTTTCTCGCCTTCAAATTTATCAAAGATGTCATTCTTCATCTCTTCTAAATCTTTGGCTCGATCCTTTTCTCTTTGCATTTCATTCATGATCTCGCGGTGTTCAGCCTTGTGTTTTATAATTCGCTCTCTTCTGTCAACCTCGAAATCTTCCATTTTTTTCTTTCCTTTTTCCAGGCTTTTGAGTAGACGGCTATTCTTTACTTTCAGATCTTCAACTCGTCTTTTCTCAATGTTTAATTCTCTGGTCATTTGTACCGTCGATTGGCCGGGTCCTGATGCTTTTCGGGATTTATATAACTCCTGGTAATTTTTCTGTAAGGCTCTGTACTCATCCTCACCTTTTTCTTTATCTTTTCTCAACACTGCACATTGTGATGAATGAAAGTCAATGTCAACCCCCAACATAGCTTTATCTTGTCTCATTTGCTCTAACTCTTTCGACCAGCCATCTCTTTCTGCTTCAAACTCAGCTCTCAAGATTTCAATCAGATGGAACCACCTTAATGTGATTCTCCATAGAAATATCCTCATTTTGATCTGGTAGAGGAATATTTTCGTTTTTTCTGACAGATCTCCATTCTTCATAATCAGGAGTTAGCATTTCTTTTGCTGCTTTAGCTCGGATACAAAAAGTTGTTTTCCAAGCTGTAACGGCTTCCATGATATTTCTTTTATAATTTTTGCTGTGGAATGCGAACTCAGATGACTGTAGTCCAGCAGTGACAGGTACAAATTGACGACCTTCATACTGTCTTATAACCAGAAGTGGTGCATATCCAATTCCTCCCCATAATCCGAGCAGCATTATCCAATTGTAATCACCACACCCGTAAAAGAATTCTCTTTGTATTTGCCACGGGGCTCGCCAAACAACGTCATTGCTTTGCAGATTTCGAAAGGCATTAATCCACATATCTTTCTTAATTTCTTTAGGCCATTCCTGCTCCAGAAATTCCTTTAATGGTGAATAATCCGTATTGAAGCGTCGGTATGAAACCTTTTCCGTCCTCCAGAAATGACTACGGATCCAAACATATAACAACTGGGTACACCCTGAGAATCGTCCACCTCCTAACCTTCTGCAAGCATTTAACGATCTGAAGGTCTCTGCTAGGATGGCAGAAACAGGATTAATCTTCTTCGGTAGCTGTTCAAACAAGTCTACCACTGCAGCTTCAACATATCCCAATACTTTTGGGAAGATGACCATACCATATATACCCAGAGCAAATAGATCGAATCGTACTTTAATATCTGGATGGCTTTGAATAAGTTCTCTGATGTTGGTCCAAGCTATGCCTTCGCTTTCGCCTTTTTGTTTTGTACGGGATGCTACCCATTCTTCTCGTACTCCGGCAATCTTTGCTAATTTAACTCGAAAGGGTTGAGTTTTAATTGACTTTGAATATATTTGATTCACCAAAGCACCTTCAAGATGTAACAAAGTTGTATATTCTTCAATAGTAGGGACCAAGTCCTCCTTATTGAAAGTGAAGCAATTGTACCTTGGATTCCAGAATTGAACTAGGGCTCTGAGTAATTCATCATCAACTTCAACATAGAGCAAATATGGGATGTCTCCGTAAGTCTGATAAAACTGCAATTTTTTGTTTGAATCCCAACTTTCCCAAATGCTTCGCAAATCTTTCATATCATTTCTTTTTAGTGAAACTGAAGCATAACTGGCCAAGTCAGATACATAATCATCCTGCAGACTGTCTCCTTCTTGTCTTTGTAAATCCTCAGCCCACTGTCTTACTTCTGAGTTTAGAATTATTTGACTTGAACACTTTTTATCCATAGATGAAGGCTTTCCAATGAGATAATTAACACAAGGATCAATGTCTTTTATCCTGTATGATGCAATGCAAACAGAAAAATAAAGAACACACAAAAAGAAAATAAATTAGTTTACATAATAAAGAAATTTAATAATAACATTTACATAAATATTCTTTATTTAAACATGCTTTTCTGAATTTAAATAATTTAAATAAACATGTAATTTAAACAATAAATAAATTAACAGAAAAGACAGAATTCATTTCTCCTGTGTGTACACCTATTTTGGACAAAATTTTGGCATGACTTCGGATCGGAAGAGTTTCTAAGGTTTTTTATATGCAAGGTTTCAGATCTAAGAATAAAGGTACCCGAATTGTCCATGTTAGTGCCTCCTTAGGCTGCTAACCCTCAATCCTAGTCCATTACAGACTAAAGTGGATCGAGTTCAATTCGAGGGGATACATTTCTCTATGCCGGACACGGAGAATAAATTCTCACGAAAACATAGAGTATATGAACCCCGAAAGTTACTTGCTAGGTCTGACACGGAGAATAAATTCTCACGAAGACGTCGCTTTCACTCCCACTTAAAAGGGACAACTCAATTATAGAGCTTTATGTTATGCAATGCAAGTGTTGTGTGTGAGGAGAAATGTTCAAACCTTTGACATAAAAATAAATACTGAAATAAAATACTTGTAAATAAAACATATAAATATTATAAAAATAATAAATAAATAAATAAAAAATTTGAAAAGAAAGAATTAAAAATTAAATATATAAATTTTTAATTTTTGACTAATAGAGACAATTTATAATTGATTTTTAAAAGTTTGACCAAAGATCTCCAGCGGAGTCGCCAAGCTGTCGTAACCGATTTTCGTCCGGGCACGAAATATTAATTTTGGTGGGGAAATTGAGGTGAATAAATAATTTTGAAAATAATTTGTGAGTCGCCATCGGCCTTTTGAATCAGGTAGGTCGAATACCTAAAAATTATCTTTTAAAAGAGTTTTTAAGAAAACCATATTTAAAAGATGAACTGATCTGCATTTTATAACCAAAAATTCGTTCTTTTTAATAAAAAAGGGATTCGTGGTCGGTTACGTTTAAGGAAGGATTAGCACCCCTACAACGCCCAAAATTGGTACTTTTTAATTATAAATTGTCTCTATTATTAAAATTTAAAAATACAAAAATATATTTAATTTATAATCCTATTATTTCAAAATTATATAAAAAATATTTATTTATTTAAAAATATCCGAAAAGAACTTCTAGGTGCCTTAAGACAGCTCTTTTCTTTGATATTGATAAATATAAATTTCAAATAATATTGTTTACTTTTTAATTAAAATATCAGAATAGGACATCCAGTTGTATTAAGACTGTCCTTTTTCTTCGATATTAAAAATAAATTTAAAAAAAAAATACTATTTATTATTATATATTTATAAAAATATTTAACAATAAAATAAAAATACTACTAAAACAATATATTTAAAAACAATAAAATAAATGAAGACATATAAAATAAATAACTAAATTATAATTAAAATAAAACTAAATCTAATTCCTAATTAATTGAAATTATAGGGATTAAATATTTTATTTTCTAATTTAATAATTTAATGACCAAAATAAAATTATCTAAAATTCGAATTTTATAATAAATTAAATTAAAAATATGAACTAGGGATTAAAAAAATTATTTATTAAAATTAAGGGATTAAATTTGTCATTTATCCTAAATATATTATTTTAATAAAAAAGACTAAAATGAACAAAATTAAAATTCAAAGACTGAATTAAAATTATTATAAATTCAGTTTAGTGACCAAAATATAAAATTTACAAGTTGGGAGGACTACAGACGGGATTTAACTATTTTGTAATTACGCGCATAGTCCTTCCCGAAACGACGTCGTTCGGGAAGGACTATAAATGGTCCAAACCGGCTGGCCCGAAGGGCCAGCCATTTCATTTCTTCTTTTTTTTCTTTAAGCAGAAAGAGAGAGAGAGAGAGAGAATTCTCTCTGGCCTCTCTCTAGATTCCCTCACCGGAGGGAATCCGGCAGCCGTCTGCCGCCGCGAGTGTCCCCGCCGGCCACCGCATCCGGTGGCCGGAAAATTTATTTTTATACTATTGGATAGATCGGACCGTCCTAAGGACGGTTCCGATGTTCTTTTCCTTAAATGGCTCCCAATCGGAGCAGATCTATAAATATACCTTCGGTATTTTCGGTTCTCCGGCGATGTTCAGTGTTTCCGGCGACGGTCAAGGCTTCCTTGGTAAGCTTCTCTCCTCTCTTTTTCCTTCTGTTTTTGTTTTTGCTCTGTTGGGATCGTTGGTAGTTTTATATCTCTCTCTATTTTCCTTTTTTTTTCTTTTTGGTTCTGTCTCTGTCCCTGGTTTTTTTGTCTCTCTTTTTCTTTTTTTTCTTTCGCAGATGGGTGGTGGCTTTTATAGCCACCACCGGTGTTCGTCTCAGACCGGTCCGAAGAGGGGGCCTCGGTGAGTCACCGGACTACCAGTGGTGACTCACCCCGTAGCCTTGCATGGACGGCTGGCGTTGATCTTCTGGAAGCATCATTCGGGACGTGGCAGCGGCGGAGGCGGTGAGGGCTTCTGGAAGCAGCAGCGGCGGCGCTGGGACGTGTCCTTAGGGTATAGATACCCTAGGGTTTCCTCTGGCAAATGGTGGACCGTTGGATCAAACCAGATCCAACGGTTGAGATTAAAGATGGCGGCTGGCTAGATTAGGGTTAGGAAACCCTAACTGGAAACCCAAATATTTAGGGTTTCTGGTTGGATTTGGACCGGCTCTGGTTGGTTTGTAACTGGGCCGGTCCAATTGTAATTGGGCCTGTAATTATATTTTTTATTATTTATTTATTTTTAATAATATTTATATGTATTTAATATATTTAATAATAATAGTAATAATAATAATAATAATAATAATAATAATAATAATGATAATAGTAATAATAATAATAATAATAATAATAATAATAATAATAATAATAATAATAATAATATGGATAAAAAATTAGTATCTTCAGCGAGTGCTCAAATCCGGCTCAAATATACAAGAAAGTGACTTCAGTGAGTTATATACAGCTTTGTTAGTTTTGACAATCAACCTTTGAATTAATCTAAGACTTGTGTCTGCTATATTCGTTCTTAACTCTCCAGGGGAAGTTGCCAGAGGCATTTTATAGAATCCAAGACGAGGAAGCCCGGAGGTTTATCGGAAAGTGCCTGGAGAATGTTTCCAAGAGGTTGCCTGCACATGAACTCTTGCTTCATCCATTTTTGGCCACTAATGAAGAGACTCTGCAGTCCATCCCAAGAGTCGATCCAGGAACTAACTCGTAAAGGCCGAGTCACAGAGCTAGATCCTTCTCTGCGGATTGATCCAACAAGGAGTACTGATATGTCGATAACTGGCACAATGGGTCCCGAAGACACAATTTTTCTCAAAGTACAGATTACAGACAAGGAAGGTACTATTGCATACATACTGAAGAAGTTCATGAATCCTACAAGATTCTTAATCAATGATTTCCCTTATTACAGGTCAGGCTCGGAACATCTATTTTCCCTTCGACATATTGAATGACACGGCGATTGATGTTGCCTTGGAGATGGTGAAAGAGTTGGATATTGATGACTGGGAGCCGTTGAAAATTGCTGATATGATAGAAGAGGAAATCTCTTCACTTGTCCCTACATGGAAGGATCGGGGCATCTCTCAACTTCCAGCACAGCTTTAAGTACGATGAAGACGATCACCAAAACGGAATCCGCCATCCTTTCTATGCTACCTTCTCCCATTCTTCCTCTGAAGCAGAATATTGTCTAGAGAAAAGTATCTCTTCTAATAATTGCAATTGGCCCCAAGGTACTTGTAATCTTAGTTCGTTGGAAAATATACCAGTCATATTTTGCTGTCCCACATTTGACAAGAATTGTTCATTTTTGCAGATATTTTCAGCAATGATGATGCAAGTTCCAGTTGCTCTATGAACTCATTCCGTCACGCTAGCATGAATTATGAAGGCGAATTTGATTCGAGTCTGCATCAATGGGAGCAACCCTGCATTCCAAAGACCCTCAAATCTACACGATTTTGTCCGTCAGATAGCATGAGTGCTTACTGCTACAAACAGTGCTACACACAACTTGATTCATGGAGGTCTTCTCACGTCAACGGCCATAGGAAGCTAACAAAGATTCGTTCACTTGTGGACATACGCAGAAAATTGCTGCACCAGTCAGTAATGGCGGAGATAAACAAGAGACGCCTATTCAAGACCATTGGAGCAGTGGAGAACATCGGATATCAGGAGCCGGGGGAGGTTTCAGGCAAGGCATATCTTGAAAACGGCATAAAGGGAAGGATTTTTTAGATAATGAAGAAGATTTCGTGGGAGATTTAGGTGGTTAATAACTTGATTTCTCTGTTAATATGCTAGTTGATTTCAATAGTGATGCTGTACAAATTCTGAATCCTCAATCTGGTTTAGTGTAATAACTAATGCCAGGTTGCAGACATGGTCAAGACCATGAACGACTATTCCCTAAAACTTCACTATATTTTTGGAGAAGAAATGTATGTATGCATCACCATATTTATGGATTGAGAACTGTACCTATGTATGTAACATTTAATTTCTTATAAATTTTTTAGGCATAATGCCAACATTTGCCCTCAACGTTTATTAAATGGTCATTTTAGTCATTTTTTTAGCATTTTGTCCACAAACGTTTCATTTTAGGGGGAAAAATGCTCCTTTATGTATAAAAATCATTTCTATAGAATAATAGAGAGAAAAACCCATGCTTACGAAGGGTTGATATTCTATAGAATAATTTTCAAGTATATCTGATATTTTATTAAAACTTTACCTGCATGACAGCGTAAAGTATTATTTGATATATAGGTTAATTTAATAAACAATAACTAAACATAAAAAAGCTGTAAAAATTCATTTCTTTTATATGTGCATTGTTTGATTCATGCGTATATATAATGAGTAGCCCTTTGCTTGATTGTTTTGAAATAGTGAGAAAGTGGCAAGTAAACTTGAGGAAGTTGCAGAAGAAATGGGGAAGATTTTGGTAGAAATGCAAGTAAGATAGCAATGAAATGAGTGTGCAAAGGAGTTTTCCATTTGAGCATTCATAATGATGACAACAATAATTATAATAACAACGATAACAATCACAACAATAATGATAACTGATCAAAACCTACATCAAATAAAGAAGAAAACAACCATTGTTGTGCTTATACATTAAGTCTTAATCATTAATAGTGTACATATACCATACAAATGCAACTATTTGAAAACAAATCCTATAAAAATAATAACATTCTCTTGTAGCACTAAGACCACTCAATGGGTAAATATATTATGAAATTTACGTATACTTAATGCAATTTTCTATATTAAATAAATAAATAAGATCTTAAAACATACCCTTCTATTTTTTTTGGCAATAGGAATGGAGCCCAATGCTTTTTTCCATGGAGCTCAAGTGTTCATCTGTAAACATATCTCACAAATAACATGTAAAAAGTTAATCCCTTTAGCTGATCAATTATTCACATCACTCATCATTTTTTTTTACCTTTATTCCATTTTTATGTACAAAAAGAGTTAGAAAGTTGCATGTGTGTGTGTTTCTTCTACATGGTTTGATTGACCAATGTACAGTTTGGGGCATTGAGAAATGAGATTGAACATTGAAGAGTGCAGTGCTTGATAGGTGAAAAGACTGGAAAATAGTATGACAGTATATTTTTTATCCTAAATTATAATGAAAATTACAATCATAATCATAAATTAAGCTCATAATTAGGATAGTTTTCTATAATAATTAAAATAAAGCTAGCAATTTAATATCACATGAATCATACAATAAAAGATTAAAATCTAACCACGAAAACTTGATCCAAGATAGATACAAATAGATCTTATTGTATCAGTAAACGAAAAAAGATATCAAACTACTGAAAAATTATAAATCAAACTCGAGCAACATAAAAAATTATCCACAAACGTATAACGGATATTCAAATTTAATCGATGATCCATGAAGATAAAAGTAATGAGAAAATGGTATATGGATTTAGTTAAGTTGTCAATGTTAATGATTTAACATTTAAAGATTTGCTAATTATACTTTAGGTTGAAACGCATGCATCATCGATTAATATATATATATATTCTATGTAACTTGGAGAAACGAGTAAAGAGAAAATCCAACCAAATATTCTTGAAAAGATTTCGTTAGTCGCATCGCCATCGATATCTAGTTGTCCACAGATTTCATATTTACTTTGCCAAAATGTAAGATCTACAATAGTATACATGATTGTAAGTCAATTAATCAACCTACATAATAACAAAATAAACATTAGGGTAAACTACATGTTTAATATTCAATTATCACTTTTATTCTGATTTTGTTATTCAACTGTTTTTTTATTAAATTTTCGGTAAATAGCCAAAATAAAACTAAAATATAATAAAAATAATAGTTAGAGTTCTAAACTACACCTTGTGAAATATATAATATATATTTATATTGTAAAATATATATTATATATTTATATTGAGGGAGGGAGGGAGAGAGAGAGAAATAGCTACCGTACTAAACTACACACTTGGTGAAATATATATTATAAAATATATTTATATTGTGAAATATATATTATATATTTATATTGAGAGAGAAGAGAGAGGAAAGAGGAGAGGAGAGAGGGCCTTCTTACATTATAAAACTCTTTTATAAAACTAAAGAGTTTTATATTGTGTAAGTACACACGTGCATGTGCACACTCACATACACAAGCATGCATCCGTCAGTCTGCCCGCCCACACGCACGTGCACAGGCACACACATACACGCGCACACCCCCACCCCCACCCCTACCCCATACACGCATACAGATGCACACACACGCACACGTGCGCACGCACACACACAAGCGCTCATTTGAATTCAGATACACACACGCACGCACACACGAACGCACGCACACATGTGCTCGTTTGAATTCAGGTATACACGCACGCATGAGCGCGCGCACACACACACATGCACGCACACACGAGCGTGGGTGCACACGCGCGCGCACACACATAGGCACTTGTTTGAATTCAAGTACACATACATAGGCGCTTGTTTGAATTCAAGTACACATACATAGGCGCTTGTTTGAGTTCAGGTACGCACGCACGCGCACGCACACACATAGGCGCTCGTTTAAATTCAGACACACACACATAAGCCCTCATTTAAATTAAGGTACACACACATAGGCACTCGTTTCAATTTAGGTACACATGTGCGCACCCACCCACCACACACATAGGCATTCGTTTGAATTCAGGTACACACACAGACGCTCATTTGAATTCAGACGCATATATACACACAGAGAGACGCTCGTTTGAATTCAGGTAGCTATTGAAATAAACTATTTTTTATTAAGTAGAGATATATTATATTCAAGGAAAATATTAAAATTCGAACCTACACAAGATAATAATAATCATTTTTTAGTTACAAAACCATTTTATCTTGTATCAATCATTCACCGCCCTATGGGTCATTTTGTTAGTTGTGAGGTGAAGTGGTAAACATATTAAGGTAATTATATAACATATAACAAAGTCAAATTTGGTGTGAAGAGTAATTGTCGAAGGATTAATCAAACACGTGCAGCGCTTGGTAAGGGGGACATTGTTAATTTGTTTTACCTTTGAAATAATATTAATTCAGAAAAGAGCCCTTCCAAGTTCCACCTCACCCTATACTTTGGAACATTGTAGGGTACCTTACCCTTCGTTTTGCCCCAATATGTTAATAGCTTTTGTAAGGTAGAATCATCATAGAAGGAAAGATACGTGTTAGCACTTGGCAGTAGCCAGAATCTACGGATTAATGTTGGTGTGCCCTCTATGTGTCGTAATCGGTTTTCGCCGGACACGAATTTTTTTCTTGGCGGGAAAAGTGATGTGAATAAATGGTTTTTTAAAATAATTTGGGAGTCGCCATCGGCCTTTTGGGTCAGGTAGGTCGAATACCTAAAAATCATCTTTTAAAAGAGTTTTTAAGAAAATAACGATTAAAAGATAAACTGATCTGCGTTTTAACCAAAAATTCGTTCTTTTTAATAATAAAAAGGGATTCATGGTCGGTTACGTTTAGGGAAGGATTAGCACCCCTACAACGCCCAAAATTGGTACTTTTTAATTATAAATTGTCTCGATTATTAGAAATTTAAGAATTCAAATATATATTTAATTTATAATCTTTTTTTTATTTCAAATTTATGATTTTATGAAAATATATTCATATAAATAAGATATTTATTTATTTAGAAATATCAGAAAAGGGCTTCTAGGTGCTTTAAGACAGCTCTTTTCTTTGATATAAAAATAAATAAAACATTTATTTAATATAAGATTTATAAAAATAGGATATTTAATAAAAATATCAGAAAACAGACTTCTAGGTGTTTTAAGACAGTCATTTTCTTGATATTGAAAAATAAATATATATTAAAATATGATTATTAAAAGTAATTTATGAAATATAGGATTTTAATAGAAAATAAATAGAATAAATAAACAAATATTATTATATATATATATTTATTTATATAAATAATAAAAATAATAATAATGAAATAATAATTAAAGCAATAATAATAATAAAATAATATTGCAAATAATGATTAAAATAAAAGGAAAAAAATTAAAAATAAATAGTCAAAAATGAAAATTTAATGATTAAAATGTAAAATTATAAAACTAGAGTCCTAATTCGAAATATATAAAAGGTGGGCATTAAAAGTGTAATTTAACCATAATTCATAATACGGGATTAAAATAAAAAATACTAAACTATGAGGGACTAAATTTGATATTTACCTAAATATATATATATATATGCTAATAAGGACTAAATTAAAATAAAATAAAATTAGAAGACTAAATTAAAATAATCAAAAATTGCTTTTAATGACTAAATTGCAAGGTATATAAACTTGGAGCACTGCGGATGGGGTTTACCCTTTATAAAATTACAGAAATACCCTCCCCAAAACAAAGTCGTTTGGGGAGGGTTTTAAATACCTAATCGGCCGGCCCTTATGGGCCATTTTTCTCATTTCTTTCATTTCTTTCTTTCTCTGAGAGAGAAAACTCTCTCTGTTCTCTCTAAACTCTCTCCCCGGAGAGAGAGCTGACCACCGGCCGGCAACCATGATCCGTCGCCAAGCACCGCCGCACGGTGGCCGGAATTTACAAAACCATACCAAATCAAAGCTCTTTTAACCCTAAAGCCAAATCTGGTATCCTTTTCTCCTAAAACCTCATAGTATTTCCTAGATCTAAAGATAATACCTTCGGTATTTTAACGGTTCGACGACGTTTTGGAGAGCTCCGATGGTCGTGGTAAGTTTCTCTCCTCTCTCAGTTTATTTTTCGTTGTTGGTTTGTTGTTGGTGTTGGTGTTGGTTCTTGGTTTTGTGTTGTTTTTGCTCTCTGTCTTTTTGTTGTTTTCGGTTCTGGTTTCTGTCCCCTTGCTCTCCGTGGC